ATTCTGTCCCCGTTTTTTCTCTACTAGCTATTATTATCTCTAGCTATGCTTATCTTGATAACATTTTATGGAATGATTCCAGCATTTTTTCTGTTTCCCATCTTTCTTTTCTTGATGCCTTTAGAAAGAAGTGCTGTGGAAGGTGCTCAGCTGCTGTGAAACAGCCCATGGTCCATGACCTCAGAGTTGTGTGCATTTCCAGCTGCTGGGAAACCCAGCCAGGGACTTTTTCCATATATGGGAGAATTTCTAATTTAAATAAGTGCTATTAACTCTGTTTGTCTTCTGGTTGGCTTTTAGTTTAAAATTAACTGAACATATGACTGAGTTTTTCTCAGTGTGGGTTCCAGAAGAATCCAGGGGGTAGGAGACTGTGGTGAGACTTGGCAGGTAGGAGGGCTGCCCCTGTGAAGCCTCCTCACTCCAGCCACAGAGTGCTCTCACCCTATTGCCAATTACCATCTTAGAGATATTTCACTCAATCAAAAAAGATGTGGTGTAAAACAAAAGACACCAGGTCATGCCAAGAAATATGTGGGAAGGGTAGAGAGAATGTGTGAAGCACCAAGAATTATGTGCCCAGGGATAATCAGATTTGCACCATTTTTCTATTCTTTTCTATTCTATTTGATCATGGTTTGCCAAAATCAACACCAGTGAGTTTAATACAGGTGCCTTTGTTCTCAGAAATGGTCTGAATGAAACCTGGAATTCTGAATTCTTTCCCATGTCATGCTGTACCTTGGGAAGCTTTCCATTCAGTGGGTAATCCTTTTATTTTTTATTTTTTTCTTGTCCTCTTTACTGTTATTAACTTTCTCCACCCAGCTTTGACACTGCTGGTGTAGTACTTCGCTCTCCCACACCATGGTGTGACAGTGGAGCACTACCTGTTATAGATGGAGCTTGGAAATGTGAATTTGGTTGCTAATGTGTCTTGGAAGGTCCAGTTCAAATAATGTCTGAGATTTTAGTATTGCAAATGCTGTACGGAGGGGCTGTCTGCCTTAGTAGCGTCAAAATTTGGGATCAAGGCTGAAACAGAAAAAGCCCTTGGAGGTTTGCAAGCTGCCTTCCACACAAGCCCTTCAGGCACATTCAGGTGTAGAATATGTGAAAAATCGCCTCAGTTTCACTGTTCCTTTAAAACTTGAATCTCAGTCCAAGGTCACAAATAGGTGCTCTCAGGTTTATAGACTTACAAAGGGACCCTGGCCACTGTTTTGAGTAAATCTGGAGTAATTGATGCCTTAGTATTAAAAAAATATGGGAAATCTGTGGTTCTGTAGAGTTCCAGTATGAAAGCTGATGAAACTTTTTGAAAGGGAAAGGTGGTTGGTGGTAAAGCACTCACCTGAGGCACAAGCAATGAGGGTCCCTCTTAGAGAGGTTTTTTGGGACAAGTCATGTCACATCTTTCTGTATCAGGTTTATCATCAGTAATGACAGGATGGGAAGATTTATCTGCCCTACCTGCCTGCCTTATTTGCAAAATATCTTGAAAATCCCTGGAGATGGTGTAATAAGTGTTAAAATTGCCTCATTGAAAGCCATTTAAAGTTTCTGTCTTTGGAGGGATAGTAAATCTTACCTTTTATACAGTGAAAAGGCAGCAGCTGACCTATTAGTTTGCATCCTATATATAGTGATCCATCAACACCAGGATCAATTTCCTGAAGGTCACTAGGTCTTTTAAATCCTTCCATTGTCTTTGAATTCAGACAGTGGGGATTTGGCTTCTCTCTTCCTCACCTGCATTTTCCCTCCTTTCCCTTCTGATAAACACAGGCATTGCAGCTTTAAGATTTTAAGACCTTTCCCAGACGGAAAAGGTCATTTGTCTTTCACTACTCAACACTTCCTTCTTGAGTTCATTTAAGCATTGCCAGGCATCAGAAGAACAGAACTCAGCTGTAGGGTTATCTGTGTCTTATTCCCCTTTTGTGTAGGTGGCAAAACTGATCTAGAACAAAACTGTTTGGTTCCCATAGCAATTTACAACATGTATGACCAAAATACTGTACTCTTCCCACTCCTTATCTGCACCTATTATTTCTTCCTCTGCTACCCAGCTAAGAGCTGTAACACTGGCACTATTTTGAATGGCATCAAGCAGACCATTTCCTAAGTTTCTCACAATTTCCCCCTATTTTTGGTAAGGACAGGATGCATTTTTAATCTAAGTAGCAAAAAGCAAACATTTTATTAGCCACTTCCAATTGGATTCTCAATGAAAAGTTAATTAAGGGAGTGGAATGAAGAGATGTTACAGTGCATCTACTAATCTTGGTACATTATTTATGTGAAATCAGTCATCAAAATTAGTCATGTGCACTATCTTGCTGTGTGTGGTCTGGTTTGAAATGGTGTGTTTGTTTCCATTCAGCTCTGCTGGATGCAGTTAAGATACACATTTGGTGCGTTACGCAGTTAGATCATATTTTGAAAGTTTATTATGCTCTCTATCTCTCTGTATCTGCAGGCTCAGAGTCAAGGGACCGTTAAAAGCTTTCAGCTAAACTTTGCAGTGTGCCTGAGATAAGTGACAAAAGTCATCCTTTCCTGTAAGTTAACGGGCACAGCTGCCGAAACCTCTGCTGGCGTGGTGCTGGCTGCTGGCACGGTGCTGGCTGCTGGCACGTCCCCTCCCAGACTTCTGCTGTGTTTCAGTCTGTGATGGGTGCTGGTGGTGCTTCTGGCTGCTGGGGCAGGTGGAACAGTGGCCAATCAAGCCCTGGGACAACAGGGCCCTGCTGTCCTCCCTGGCAGTGGCAGCAGAGCAGCATCCCTTGCCCCCAGACCCTCACCAGTCCTTGGAGTGCTTCCACTCCCTCTGGCTCTGCTGTTAGACACCAGTGAGCTCTTTGCCCACTGCAGGTACCACACTGCCTGTTTTTTTTCCTCACTTTTCTCCTTAGGGTGTGCATCAAGAGGAATCAGGGCTAACAAAGTAATTTTAAATTCTTCCTTCTTTCTGGGTGGTCAGTGGACTGCTCCTTCCCTCCCCGCCTTGTCTCATCCTCTCCTGCAGGGAAAGCAGATAGAGTTACGAATTTCAGGCAAGGAGAATAGTTTAATGATCCCTCCTTAAGGTCACTGTAAATGCTGTTGCATAAATTGACCTACTAGGGGCTTCTGTAAGAGCAATGCTGTTAACTGGACACGGGGGAGTGTAGCGTTACAAAGCAGTGCATGGAAGTTGCCCACTTAAATCACTGAAGCATTTTAATTGACATTCAGTAACTCTCTCCTTTTCTGACAGCTGCCTCTAATAGAGAGAGCACGGCTAATGCCAGTCATGGGGTCGTTCTGTACTCCCTGCTACAGCTCCTGGCTTGAGCTGCAGGGACAGAGCAGTCCCTGAGAAATGTGACTGAAAATTTCACCTGTTCACTGCAAAGGGGCAAATGTAAGAACACAGGCACTTGCTCAACACAACACATGGCTGTGAGCAAGTGCAGCTTCAGTGGGAAGAGCCAGGTTATGAAATAAACATCCATGGTGGCTGTGGACTGTCCAGCTCTGAGGATACTCTGAGTTTTTCCCAGAAGATGTGGGAGAGTTTGCCAGCTCGTTTTGGGGAGAAGGGAAACAAGTGCAGGGAGGTGGGAAAGCATTCCAGTTGATTTGTTTTCCCTTCAGTCCTTCCTCATTCATGTCCTTCAAATCTATTGCATTTTTAAACTGGTGAAAGGCCTCTCAAATTTCACATCAGCATCTCATAGTTTGAAGACAATATGCTTTTGCAGACTTTATAGTGTGGCAATAATTTCATCAACTCCAGCTTTACTGTGCAACAGCAAATAGGCAAAATACCCTTTCACTCTCACACTGCTTTGCTTACTTGTGGGCAACTTAAGATTTGATATAAGGACATTATACGAAATTCATCTTGCAGTATCAGATCAGATATAAAATCTGATATAAAATATATGAAGATACAAAATCCCCAGGTCCTACAGAATGGGGATTTGTGCTCTTGAGCATCTTCTCTCATGTACATAGCTGCAGTGCACTGTGCTCACAAGGGAGAGCAAAGTGGCTTAAAAAACCCCACAACCCTGGTGAGCTCAGTACAGCCTCTCCTGCTTCTGTCGGGTGGGGACTCACTCTGGAAACAGTCTAATTTTTTCCCAACATTTACCTCTCTGAGCTGTTTCTCCCAGTGGGTGAAAACTGTGATCCTTTTTGCTCTGCTCCTGATAAATGGGGCAGGTGGGGTAAAGCTCTGAGACACAGTGTGAATGAATGGGATACGAAAAATCTGCTGGAAATTTCAGTGCAGCTTCTAGCAAAGCTAAGAAGCAAGCCACAGTCTAGATTATTTTCTGTGTTTTAAAGCCTTTTCTGATTATTATTCTGGTTACAATGACTATATCAATATCTGCAGTTTCTCACAGAGGCAAGATTCATCCTCTGTTCCGGAATGAACTACAGCAGTAAGCATTAAATGGATATCTCTTGATCAAGGATACATCTCCTCTGACTTTCCTCATAAGATATTAATAAGACATAGGCATTATCAGTTTCCATTTAACAGGTGTGTGGAAGAAGGGGGAATCTCATAATCATTTAATACCTTCGGCAGGAACATCCTTCATCAGCTTTTGCTAATTATGAAGCTGAAGCCATTTTCTATTTTGTTTTCCATTTAAAGCTGAAGACAAACTTCAGGAGACAGCAACAGCTATTTATTTACTAGGTTTTACAAGGTAACCTCACAGGGTTTCATTTAAAAGTAAGAGCTCAGAGGAAAAAATACCATGGCTTTAGCCCACTGTCTCTGTTAGTTTATTAAAATATTAGTCTTGTAGGTGTGCTAGATTGATTTGCCTTGCAAGGTGTTTAAAAATAGCTGTGAGAATAATGGGTTTCATCAAAAATCATTAACTGGGACGTTACTTTCATTTTTTAACCACAGAACAAAGTGTCACAGCCAGATTAAACAAGCCAGAAAGCATTTGGAGTGCACACAAGCAGTGAGCAATTTTTAAATATACCTTAACTGTGGAAAATCCTGAAAGATATCAGCCAACTTCCACTGCAGATTGGTCAGAATCCCCAAGAAAGGTCAGATTGTTTGAAGTGACTGCTATTTGTACCAGTTGACATGAAAAGGTTCAGTTATTTATGGGGATTTGCCTGCATCCCCACAATGCTAAGGGACTGAATGAGATTGCAGAGATGAAAAGGACGTTGCAGTCTAACAACTGCAAATAGCTGTAGCTCAGCAAACTCCTAAATTATGGCATTACCTAGCCAGAGAGCTGCCCAGCTTAAGCACAGGTCTTAATCCCTATGGGGTAACAGGATCCCATAGAAACCACTTTTTTTTTTGAAGGGTGCCTTTTATTTCTATAAAGCTTAGTTCCCTATGTAGTGCAATCAAACTTCAGGGCTTCCCTTCCAAGTTTCCCTTATGAGCTGTGTCGTCTTTATCTGGTTGTGTCAGCCAGCCACTGTGATGGAGTTGTTTTTTTTAGCTATAGGACTTGGACAGCAAAAGAAGAAACTGGGGTCATATGAGGAGAGTGTTAGGACTGGGAAGAAATGTGGATTCAAGTTCATCAGGGTGAATGCTCACCCCTTTTGCTGAATATTTGGTAGGCGAGTGACCCACCAGAGATCAAGAGGGAGTAAAAGAAGACATTTCTGATGAAAAGCAAAACATTGCTGACAGTTATGGAAAAAGATAAGGACAGTGATCATGGCCAATAAGAGTGAAAACTCCTGTAAACTGACCCAAAATTCCAGGAGATCTCTCTTGAAGAAACCACCCACAATTTCCAGTTTTATTGGGGTAGTCAGGTCTATGGGAAAAAGGTACTTTCTTCTTACTGGCAAGTCCAAAATCAGCAGGGAATTAAAAGACATTGGAGGTTGGCCCAAACAGCCAAATGGGAGAATAGGGCCCTTTCAGTCAGTTCAACCTTATGGGAAAACTCCCATTTTGCACCATGAGCAGCAGACACAGAACAGCTGAGCTGTTGTTTCCTTAAATCAGCACTGGGTTTGATGTGGGATGCCCTTTGGAGCACGGCTGATCAGGCCAAGTACGAACAGGGTGTTATCTCTGAACAGCTCATGAGCCTTCCTGAGCAGATAGCCTGGAAACAGCCCCAATGACTGGCCCTAATCCTAAAGCCTTCCCTCATGCAGATAAACCCCCTACAGAGAGAGGGACAGAGGAAATTACTGATATTCACTCATCTGTTTATATTTAGACAAAAGATTAAACAAGTTGGAACTGTAATGATACGTCCACCGCGTGGCTCCTGCAAACATGTAAGCACTTGCAGTACTTCTCTACACGGGCTTAACTGGAAATGGACTGGAGATTGTGGACATCTTCCAACAAAGTGTACTTATTCCACGAAGGAAAGCTATGTTTGGACAGGAAACCGATTGTTTTTCCAGGAGGAAGTTACTGAGAACCAACGTTTCGATTAAAACAAAAGATCGTGTTTTCACTCAAAAATTCCCGTTGAATTCGTGTTTTTCTAAAACTCTAAACAATTCCATAGACGTGAAGCATTGTGAGGACTGCAGGCACGTTGAAACAAATCTGTGCAAATAGGATGTTCTGATGCTATCAGGGCAAAATCACACAGGATTTCCATTTCATAGGGAATTTCTACCTTCCTTGTTCTTTTTCTGGTTAAGTATGAAAAAAAAAAAAAAAATTTCAGGGAAATTCCAGGTTTCAACCAGCTTTGCTAAACAACCCTCAATTCTTGACTGGCACTGCTCTCAATGCCTCACTTTTCCCTCATCTTACCCCTGAGTCCAAACCTTAGACCAGTATCTTGTGCTTGGAATACTCACATGAAAATCAAGAGTGACGACTCCCACACCGTGGAACACCTTCTCTACCAAAGCTACCTCTGCAGGACAAGAGTTTTCTTTGGGATGGTCTAACAGGATGGCATGAACCTCTGCAGGAATGCAGTGTCATCACAGAATGGGTAGGAGTGGAAGGGACCACTGGGGGTCATCTAGTCCAGCTCCCTGCTCAAGCAAGAATCCCTAGACCACAGTGCTCAGGACTGTGTCTAGAAAGCTTTTGGATACCTTGGGAAAAGGAGACTCCATGACCTCTCTGGGCAGCCTGTTCCAGTGCTCGGTCACTTGCACAGTAAAGAAGTTCAGAGATCTCTTTTCCAAATGCCTGGACTTTTAAAGTATAAATATAAAACTTACTCTGATCCAGCAATCCAGAAATCCAATCTTATAAATTCGGTTTGCCCCTGGCCTTGCCAAACACAAGGCCACAAGCAGAGCTTTCTTCCCCGAGAAGAGATGAGGGAAAAGACTGGTGACAGATGTTAATTAGAGTGTAAAAATCACCTTTGGAAAGTGCTCAGACATGTTGAGGAGCCTCCCAGTATAAATGTCTTTCCTTGGAACTTACTTGTGAGTCCTACAATTAGTGTGGAGCCTGGCTATGCAGTGCACAGTGCACAGGAGGTGGCATTAAGGAGGGCCTGTTTTCTTAGGCTTGTTATTTTCCTCCTTGCTTTCTGCAGTATATATTTATGTTAATTGTAGCAATACATCTGTCCTCAGAGTTTATCAGATTTGAGGAGATAAGATATTGCCATCAAAGCCTATTTTGAGCAATGAGCTCCTCAGTAAATCAATGTTACATGAATTAAGATTGCCTTGAGATTGTCTAGAACATTTCATCTGCCCATATCTGGAAAGAGTTTCTAATCAAAACTCTGTAAAAGACGGCTTTAGGAATTTTCTCTTGCAGCTTACAAACTCTGTGGTCTCAAACAAGCTTTAATTACCAGGGCTTTAATGGCAGCAATTTTATGATGTTTCAGAAGTGAAATGGTTTATACTCTGGTGATAAGGACTTCATAGGAGACAGTAAAAAATAAAGCAGAATTCCACAGCAGGTGATGGATTTTTTTTTAAATGGATTTTTGCAGATAACTCTTAGCCTTTTCAACCAAAAGCAAAGATACAAAATGTGTTTATGGGCATTTACATCTTCTTTATTTTCAGTAGTTTCACCTGTTGCTCCTACCTTTCACTTTGCATTTTTATACACAAATTTAATCCCATTTCTGTCCATTTGAATACAAAAAATGCCAAGCATACTTCCACCTACCACAGTCTACCTTTCTTAGAGACCACCTTAGAGAATCTTTTCCCTGCCTGCAGAGGCCAGCTATCACCACAACACAAGCCCTACCACAAGCTCCACGTGGTCCAGAGTGATTGGCATTCTGCACTCACAATGGCCACAATGGAGGGTAAATATGGAAGGGTGGTCTTGCATGTCAGAGCTGAAATAAACCTGTGGTGGTGTCAGGAATAACTTCAATTATCCAGTGCTGCTGAGCTCTGGACCTCTAGAAGAATAAATATTTACTATTCTAAAGGAAATATGTATTCCATATGAGTGTTTGCTGCAGTCTATCTTGGATAGCTTAGGGAAGACTAAAAGTTGACAAGGGGTTCTTGAACTAAAAGCTTTCCTCCATGTAGAGACGTGCTGTTTTAAAGTTCTACCACCAGCAGGAATCTTCCCCTCAGTATCAGTCTCATCTGAAAAACTCAGGTCTGTCTAACTGGTGACACTGAGCTCCCTGCAGGCACTGGGGGCCAGGGCAGAGCCTAATAACTGATGACTCTGGAGCCCTAAATCCTTTCCCTGCCTTTGCCACCAATCTGTGGGGTGAGAATGGGAAAATTGTTTGTCCTCTGTGGTAGCGTCAATCTCATATCTGAAGTGCCAGCCAAGCCTTTGCTCAAGGCCAAACTAGGGCATGAAATTTGGATGCAGGTGCAGATGAGTCAAAAGCACAAGGAAAGAAGACAAGTTTGACTTTTCTGGACTGTGACTCCCCGCACTTTCACAGTGAAATGACTCCAGGAGCTACTACAAAGCAAATAATAACACCACAGCTTTTCACAGTTCATTTTTAGTTTGCTGGAAGGAGTGGGTCTGACCCAGTCTCAGCCTGGACAAGCCTCTGTCATGTGAAGGCTGCTTTGATTTATACCTGCACTTAACAGGATCCAGGTGGCCCAAGGAGAGCGTTCAGTGGTTGTCGCTCCCGCTCCAGATGAGCGCCGGGTGTTTCTCACCAGGTCACTCAAACAGCAATAATAATGTTGGTCATTCCAGAACACTGTAAATCAGGCTGCAAAACCCTACATTTGGAACAGTTAATGTCATTGCCTGGGGCAATACCGCAGACACGGCTTTATTTGCTTTGAACAGAATTAAAATGAGAAATAAAAACGCTGCTCTTGACAGCGGTTTAATTTTAAATAGATGGCATATTAAATGCTGTTCATTAGGGCAGCGGGTTAATTATGCAACCTCTTTCCATTGCATCTTGTTTATAGGAATGGACTGAATCACCCTGGCTTGTTGTGCTTCACGTCTCTCTGGGCTGGCTTTCCTTTTGGCAGAGCAGTTACCCCTTTGCAGTATTTTGATACACATCACAGTGTTTTTGTCTGCAAAGCCATGTTATCAGACTAACATTCTCAGACAACCTTCGGGCTGAGTGGGTTTCTGAATCTTGGCAACACAGCCATCTTTCTATTTACCATCTTCCTAAAAATACAAGTTGTTGTAGTGAGGATAATTGATCACACTCAAGAAACACGCTGGTTTGTTTGTGCCACAACTTCCTTAACCCTTTTGCTGGTTTGGGCACTTCTGCAACCCACAAATTGTTGCATTTAAGTGCGACAAACTCACATAAAGTGAGTATTTTCCTTAAACAAGATCTGTGGGGAAGCTCCAAATGGAGTCTTGCTTAGTAGTATCAAAATTTAGTCTATATATCTGGTTGTAGATTATAAAATTACCTCTCATAAGATAAAAAAAAAAAGGGTTAAAAAATATTAAAGAATTGGAAGCCAATAAAAATACCCTAAAATCATATGGTTATGGGTCATCACAATGAACATATATATTTCTAAAACAATCTAGAAAGCTGTTCTTGAGTGCCAAGAGCAGTATCAGAGTGTCTGTGCACACACACACAACACATGTACACATGTGCATGCACACACTAACGTTTCTTATCCTTTTTTACTGGGTATCCTTCCCTTTTAGGAGCACAAAGTACATTGAAAGGGCCTCATTTTCACTGGCTGGAGCTCAGGATATTTGCACAAA